GAGGATAAAACTATTCTTCTCTTGGCTTCTCTTCCATATTCTATTGATACACTTATGACTACACTTTTGATTGATAAAGACACTCTCAGGTTTGATGAGGTGACGACGACTCTCTTAGAGACTGAGACACTCCAAAGTACAGGAAACAGTGCCCAAGTAGAAGGGATGATGACCAATGGTGAACCAAGCCAGAAATGAGGAAGAAGTAAAAACAGAGGGAGGTCACGCCAAAATTAAAAGGGAAGAGTGACAAAAAAATCAAATGTTACTACTTCCACAAGGAAGGATATATGAAAATGGACTGCTATCAAAGAAAACAAAATCTGGAAAACAAAAAAAAATCTGCAAAATCAGATGAAGCAGGCATTGCACAAGATGATTCAGATGATAATGGTGATTTATTATCAGTCACCACATGCATGAATTATCTTGTTGAAAAATGGATATTGGATTCTGGATGTTCTTACCACATGTGTCCATATAGGGAGTGGTTTGATACTTATAAACCCTATAATGGAGGAACTGTTCTAGTGGTTAATGATGTAGTTTGCAGTACCGTTAGGATTGAGACTATTAAAATAAAAATATTTGATGGTATGGTGAGAATACTAGGTGATGTATGACATGTCCGTGGCCTCAAAAAGAATTTAATTTCTTTAGGTGAGAATACTAGGTGATGTACGACATGTCTCTGGCCTCAAAAAGAATTTAATTTCTTTAGGTACACTTGAGTCAATGGTTTTATTTTTGTGGCAACAGGTGGGGTCCTAAAATTTGTTAAGGGGAGCCATGATTGTCATGAAAGGGAAACGACGAGTAACTTCTATACATTGGTAGGGAGTACTGTTATAGGTGGAGCACTTGTCACAACTCCATTGGATCTGGGTACTATTGACATTACTCTATGACATTTATGCCTTAACCATATAAGTGAGAAAGGACTGCAGAAACTTCATAGATGCAAGTTTCTTGATGAGGTAAAAGTTCGTAAATTTAATTTTTTCAAATATTGCTTGTATGGTAAACAATGTAGGGTGAGCTTCAAGACCGAGAAACAGACAAACAAGGATGTGTTGGAGTACATACACTCGGATGTATGAGAACCCGTGCCAGTTCAATCCAAAGGTGGAGTATTATATTTTGTGACATTTATTGATGACTTCTCCAGGAAAGTATGGGTCTACATCATGAAGCACAAAAATGATGTGTTCGACAAGTTCATGCAGTGGAATGCCGAAGTTGAAAAGCATACAGGTAAGCCAGTCAAGTACCTACAGGCGAACAATGGCATAGAGTATAAACTTTGGAAATTCAAGAAATTTTGGTAGACAGAAGGGATTACTCGACATTATACTAAACCAGGTGGGGCACAACAAAACTGTGTAGTGGAAAGAATGAACGTGACCCTTTTACAAAAATCAAGATGTATGAGACTTTTTGTAGGTTTGTCAAAATCATTTTGAGCTGAGGCTGTTAACATGACATGTTATATTATTAACAGCTCACCATATTCAGCTATTAATGCAAAAGTCCCTGAGGAGGTGTGGGCAAGTAAACTAATTGATTATTCTAATTTAAGAATATTTGGTTAACCTGCCTATGTTCATGTGCAGGAGCAGCAACGATCAAAGTTAGACCCAAAATCCAAACAGTGCTTATTTATTGGCTACAAAAAAGACATGAAAGGATACAAACTTTGGGATCCAGTTGCACGGAACATTGTAATCAGCAGGGATGTTGTCTTTAGTGAAGAACATATGCTAAACTTAAACAGGGAAGATGCTGATAAGCAGGTGGAGGCTCATGTAGAAAAATTCTCAATTCAAATAGAGCCAGATGAAACACAATGGCCCAGTGAAGAGGATGATGTACCATCGTCCTTTCAGGAAGATATATCTAGTAATGATGACGAGCAACAAGAATCTACAACTCTAGCAGCTGGAAGAGAGAAAAAGACTCATAAGATACCAGTCAGGTATGGTTTGAGGATATGGTTTATTTTGCATTGGTTGTTAGTGAAAAGTGGATGATAGCAATAGAAGATGAGATGGAGTCTTTACACAAAGACAACACTTGGGAGCTCATTGAAAAACCCAAGGGGGCGAAAGGTGATTGGTTGCAAATTTGTATGTCAAAAAAGGAACCTACAACAGAAAATGAAGAAGAAAAATTTAAAGCTCATCTTGAAGCAAAAGGGTACAGGCAAGTTGAAGGGATTGACTACAATGAAAATTTTTCTCTTGTTGTAAAGCATTCTTCTATTCGTGTTATGGTAGCTATGCTTGACCTTGAGTTGCAACAACTTGATGTCAAGACAACGTTCCTTCACAAAGAATTGGAGGAGGAAATATATATGGAGCAACCATAAGGATTCAAGGTGCAAGGTAAAGAGAATCTAGTATGTAAGCTTAAAAGATCTCTTTACAGGTTGAAACAGTCTCCTAGGTAATGGTGTAGGATATTTGATTCTTTTATGGTGCATCTTAGCTACATGAGATGCAGTTATGATAGTTGTATTTATTATAAGATGCTTGAACATGATATTTTTTTATTATTCTGATGCTCTATGTTGATGACATGTTAATTGCTTCAAATAACATGCATTAGATAGATTTGCTAAAGTCCAAATTATGGAGTGAGTTTGATATGAAGGATCTAAGAGCTGCTAAAAAGATCATTGGCATGGAAATCTAGAGGGACAGAAAAAAAAGGCAAACTATGGGTTTCACAGAAGAAATACGTGGAGAAGGTACTAGAGAGGTTTAACATGGTTAATTCAAAGCCGGTTAGTACACCTCTAGCTAACCACTTTAAATTATTTGCTAGATTATGTCCGACTATAGGTGGTGAGGTGGAGGAAATGTCTCGAGTTCTGTAAGCTAGTGCAGTGGGAAGTTTATTGCATGCCAAGGTTTACAGTCGGCCACATATCTCACATGCAGTCAACATTGTAAGTAAGTACATGGACAATCCAGGAAAGGAGCATTGGAATGCAGTTAAATGGATTTTCAGGTACTTGAGAGGTACGGAAAATTTTGGCATCTTGTATCAGAAACAAGATGAGACAAGATAGATTGTGGGCTATGTAGATTCAGACTATGCAGGTGATCTGAACAAGTGAAGGTCTACTACAAATTATATTTTCACTCTTGCAGGTGAATCTATTAGTTGGAAAGCTATGATTCAATCAATCTCCACTTTATGCATGGCTAAAGCGGAGTTTATGGCAACGGTGGAAGCTACCAAAGAGAGTTGTGGTTGACAGGATTGGTCAAGGAATTGGGATTAAAGCAAGAAAGCTTGGTGATGTATTGTGACAATCAAAGTACTATTCACTTAGCAAAAAATCAAGTTTATCATGCCAGGACAAAACACATTGACGTGAGGTATCACACTATCAGCGAATGAGTGAAGGATGGCAAGATAAATTTGATGAAAGTACACTCGGAGAATAATAGCTGATATGTTGACAAAGCCAATGACCACACAGAAGTTCAAGCATTGGTTGGACTTGATCAATTTTTTGCACTTTTAAAGATTGACGAGACATCCCAAGGCGTGGGATGGACATTTTAAATTGAGATACGGGCCTGAAGTTTTAGGTGGAGGTTATGAAATTTTCACTAGGAGGGATTGGTTGGTAGTGGCTCAATTTTTTGTTTTGATTGGTTTGGTGACATCATTGCTAAAAAGACCTGTTTTGATTGGTTAGGTGACATCATTGCTAAAATCTTGTTGAAGGATACAAGTGTAACAATTTATTGCTTGAATGAGATAAGAGTTCCTTTGTAATTGATTAGATTATGTCATTACTACAATCTTTATAGAAGGATACAAGTGGAACAATTTCATTGCTTGAATGAGATAAGAGTTTCTTTTAATTGGTTAGATGATGTCATTGCTACAATCTTATTGGAGGATACAAGTGGAGCAATCAAATGCATTGCTAAATGTAAAGAAGTTCATTTGCCCCAACCTTGAGATGCATATAAATAGGCATGAGTCTCTTGTTTTTGAGATCATCTTGAAAATTGTATTTGTTCAATTTTCATTATCTTGTTGAGAGTACGAGATGTTTTTTTTTAGGGGTTTGACAGGGTATGGTTGAGTAGTTTGTACAACGGTTTTTTTTTTTTTGGGGGGGGAGACTTGAACCCTTGACTTCAAGAAGACAAAATATTCGTAAAGTAAGGAATGTCGTTGGACAAGGAGTTAAGGGCTTGGGTTTGTGTTTTAAACCTGAGTGGTCAGGCTTGTATTATTGTATCCATTCTCTCTCAATAATAAAGAAAGAAGGTCGGATCACGCCTTGTGAACGTAGCAAAACAATTTTGCCAAACCACGTAAATTTTGGTATTGTGAATTATATTTTGATTTTTTTATTCCGCTTATTTATTTTCTCGTCGTTGTACAGATCAAATTGCTACGAAGATTAATTCCCAACAATTATGTATATATAACCTTTTCCTAGATCCTATTGCGATGAACCTATCATGGATTGTGTTGCCTCTGTATTCCAACTTGATTCATGGCCATATTACATTTTCTCCTTCAATAATGAGCTATTCGCAATTCTCAACTTAAATTAATCGTAAATATCATGCATCATTACATTTGTTGATCCAACTAAGTGAATTAATCAAGTGCCTATTAGTTTCATTCGTTGGATTGAAAGCAAACTCTAGAGATATAAAAATTTACTATTAAACCAACCACATTAATAAAATAGGCCATCAAATTAGACTAATGAATTAGGAATAAATAAAAAATAATTTTTTTTTTTTTTTGGCTTTTCGAGATAGTAGTAACAAAGAGAAGTTACAAACGAATAAAAATGACATTGTATTTTTACCAAAAACCCTAACTTCATTTCCTTTATCAAAAAATCCTAGATTTAACTGAAAACTGAGGTAGCACAACTGAACTTGGGCATACCTAAAAACTACTAGAGAATAGAAAAAAAAAAAAACACTGGCAAAAAGAAGAAGCAAATCCCGCAACTAATCATCAATGAAACAGAGAGCAGCGGCATGGACTAGGTCTCTTGTTGTTCGACGAGTTCCGAGCCCACCAATTCTTGAATATCTCCGATCTGTGATTTCGACATGAGGGATATGTGCAATTTTCGAGTATCGTCCAAGTTCTACATATTCATTCCAAAGGGTCTCAATCAATGAGTCAGACATACCAATTAGGCGAAACTTTCCAAGGTTGTGTAGATGTTCGATTCCCAATGGTAGCTCCTCTAAGTTATGACAGAGGATAATGGATAGGTCTACAAGATGAGGCAGGGCGCCCTGCTCTACTCTCAACCATCTCAACTCTTTTAATTTCTGAAGATATAACATTTTGAGCCTAGGAAACCCTCCAGCCTTGAAGCACAATTCCTCTCCTTCATAGGCCTTCGAGAATTCAAGGGATAGGAGATTTGGCAAATCTTGTAGGCATTGCATTGGGTCGTCCCTTAAGCAGCTCTGTACGAAGCTTACTCTAACCAAACTATACAGACAAGATATCCAGTGTGGTACTCTCTCAAGAGGTCCATGTAAACATAGCTTTTGTAGAAATGGAGGACCTGAAGGAAAAGATTGTAGATCAATGATGTCAGTTGACTGAATAGCTAGTGAGCAAAGGTTGCTCAACTTTTGAAGGGACAAGCATAGGGCTACTCCATCTTCTCTTTTCAAATCCGCAATGGTTAAAGTCTTTAGATGGGTAAGCTTCTCTATTTCTTCCGTTACAATATTTCCATTCCTTTTGTACGCCTTGATTGTATAAAGCTTTTCAAGGGATGACAAATTTCCTATTTCCGCTGGGATTGTACAATTCGAAGGCCCCTGTTTCTGACCCACATAGAGACGTCTAAGTTTTTGAAGTTTTCCTATTTGAGCAGGAAACTCAACCACATTGTTACGGCTCAGATCCAAGATCCGGAGCTGCTCAAGGTTTCCTATTGCATCAGGCAAATAAGACAAATTGTTCATACTCAGAATCAAGGTCTCTAGGTTTCGAAGCATTCCGACAGATTTTGGAATGGTTTCCAGATTACAGTGTATCATGGTTAAAGACCTGAGGTGACGTAGTTTAGAAACGTCATCTGGGAGTGTGTTGAACTCAGTATGTCTTATATCTATAACCTTCAGCAACTTACAACGACCAACTAAGAGTGAAAGTACACGTAACCTGCATTCTTGATGACTCCCAGGAAAAATTATCAGAGAGCGAAGTGGACAAAGATGTTTGCTTTGTTGTTGTACATCTTTAACGTAGTGAACGGCCAAGTGTCGAACTTTATCTAGCAACATCACATCTTGTCCGGAGGAAATGGTTACAATATTATGCTCTTTCGACTTTGGAAGTGTGATTTCACGTAGAAGATCATGGATACGACATGTTATGGGTCTTCCCTCCAGTGATCTCCTTGCCACTTGAATTAAGCTTCTGTTCAGCAGTTCATTGAAATAGCCTGTGGCAACTTCTTCTGAAGTTTTTCTTTCTGTCTCTTGCACGAATTGCAGTGCTGTCCACAGTCGAATCACCTGTTTTTTTTCAATTTCATAATCCTCAGGAAAAATGCTCAAGTAAATGAAGCAAATTTTGAGATGGTAAGACAGATCATAGTAACTAAGAGACAATATTTTCTTCACTCTCTCATATTTGCCCGCACCTTCAAGTTCAACACTAAGGTCGCGCTGAACCATCTCCCACTCGTTTATTCTACTTTTGTCCTTCAAAGCCAATATGCCACCAATTGCAACAATGGCAAGTGGCAATCCCTCGCATTTTCTCAATATATTTCGTGACGGTCTTTCAAGATGTTGAGGGCAGCGTTTGTCTTCAAATGTCTTATTACAGAAAAGAGTCCAAGACTCGTCATCAGACAAAGCATTCATTTCATACTTGTAACCTTGGGATTCAAAGCATGAATCAGAAGCCACATCAACTACACGAGTTGTGATCAGTACACGACTACCACAATTACCATCAGGCAATGCATACTTGATGGCATCCCATGCTTGTATGTTCCATATATCGTCTAACACGACCACATACCTGTACAAATAATTATAGATTTTACTTATAAATTTATGATTAGAGTTAGAAAAAATGACTACTGAATTTTGGCCAAAGCAATAATTATTAGAATTATGATGTGAATAAAATAGCTATGCGTGTTGTAATTTAAAATTAGAAATAAAGCATGCAAATAGTGGTTAAATCATTAAAATATAACATGTGATTTAAATGAATACATGCAATTTATATAAACTAAATAAATTTATTTGGAAAGAGCTGGTCTGCAAGTTCAAGAGACGTGTGATAACTGTCTTAAAACAATTAGCCTCCTCACATGAGGGAACTGACGAACACCAGCGACTTTAAGATCCAATTGAAACACTAGTAGCACTTTCTCAATTGTCACGTTCAGGAGGGAAATGTTGAAGTGAACCTGACTCGAATTAACTTGTCCAAAAATAAAATAATAGATAATAATTGAAAAACTAGGTCAAGTACAAAGAAATTGAAATAAGCAATTGAAAGGTCTCTGAAGTGGATTTCGTTGCAAGCCAAAAGATATCTCTAAGTACATGAATACTCAATTATTTTTTTTATCCGTTTGGCACATGCTTCTCAAGAATAGCCATAAAACCATTTTTTATACACACTAAATAGGACAAAAAAATTTGTAACTGAAATTCACACATAATTAAAATGAAAATTCAATAAAAGTTTTAAAAACTTAATTTTTATTCTTACAATACCTGCATTTTTGGAGGAATTCTTTGATGACTGCTTTTAACTTATCTTCATTCATGGTTTCCATTCTTTGAGGCAGTGCTTGCTTTATTTCATCATAGACTTGTTCAATCAAGTCCTTTAAGAGCTTGACAATGTCAAATGACTGTGAAACAGTGATCCAAGCATGGCTTTTGAATTGCATCTTCACTTGTGTATCCTCGAAGACTCTTTTTACCAGTGTGGTTTTGCCTAGTCCTCCCTTTCCCACCACAGAAACCACTTTGAGTCGAGAATCGCCATCCAGAAGCCAACTAATGAGTTGTTGTTTGGGCTTCTCGATGCCCACAAGCTCAGCTTCTTCTAGGAGAAGTGCATCGCCTCGACCATCATAACATGTGTTGCTAATGACAGTAGAGCTTGAGCCTTGCTCTGGGATTCGATATCCCACTGGAACTTCCTTAGAAAGATCTTCGACTCTGGACTTGAGTTTTCTTAGTTCAGAAGCAATTTGGTGGCGAGCTTTTAGGTTCCCAAAAAAGCCAACCATCTTACATAGAAAACCATAGCAACCATCCCCATGATCATTCTCCAACCGAAGCATGAATTCGTCAAGAACATCTTCGATATCGTTTGCAACATCTTGGACTTGCAGCACTTGTTTTCGGAGTTGTTCATCAGTCTCTTTTTTCATATCGACATATCTCAAGAAGTCCTTCATTTTCTCCAATTCATCTCTGATGTGCTTAACTTCTTTCCCAACACCACCTAAAAGTCTTGCCTCTTCAATCAGGAAGGGCTTTAGCTGGTCGAGTAGAAAGGATATAGCATTTTCTGCCATTTTTCTCTCTTCACTTTTCTTAAGATGGCTTTTAGGTCTCTCAGCTCTCAGCTCAGAAGGTTTGAGGAAATGATTGAAGGACACGGCTAGATGAAATGTTAAAGTAAGAAGAAAGATGAGCCGGTCCAGTGTAAAATATGAAATTTTGGCAGAGGAAGAAATATTTTAATTGGAGTAACCTTTTTCAATTTTGTCATACCTCTCTGCACCATGAACCTTCTCGGAAGGCTGCAATGGACGAATGTAAGATTTTTAAATTTTTCCACCTTCGACATGGTGAAAAATAATCTTAAGAGAAAATTTATTAATATACACATAAATTTGAAAGCACTCTTTGTATTATATTGAAACCCACTATTTTTTTTTACTTAACTGTTTTAATGAAATTGATTTACTTTTATAATTATAGATTTATATATTATTCCAACCATGATCTAATCCAAATTTGTTATACAATAATAAGATTAAATAGTACTCTCGTTAACACTATTTTATGAATTGGATGACAATTAATTGTCCAATCTCATCCTTTATTTGTACCCGAACCAAAGATGTTAACTTGGTACATCTTTTTGAGACCCTTGATCTTTTGTTGGGTGGTGTGTGTGTGTGTATATATATATAATAATAAAATTAAATAATACTCTTATTAACACTATTTTATGAATTAGGTGAGAATTAATTGCTCAATCTCATCCTTTATTTGTACCTGAACCAAACATGTTAACTCAGTACATCTTTTTGAGTCCCTTCATCTTTTGTTGGGTGGTGTGTATATATTATATATATGAAAGTCAAACAATATGTAAAAATATGCCCCCTCAAGTTATTGTTCATAATATGTTACGTCATTTCTTATGACAAAAAACTTAAAAGTCTATGAACAAAAATATTATAATACCCATCTCATAGCGTATTTTTAAACTGTTGTTTTTTTACATAATTTTGTCTTTTTATTATTCACTATCTCCTCAATCACATTGCTTTAAAATTAAACATTATTATTAGATTATCTGACCAACTAAAACAAAATCAATAGCTCGGGGACAAAGTGACACTCCTCATTCAATTTGTAATAGATATCTACAACTAGGACAACATGAAAGTCTATGAGCAAAAATGTTATAAGCCTCGTCTTGTTTGTATCTTTGAAAAATGGTTCCCATCTCACTCCACCCTCTTATTTTATCACATCAAGTTGAAAAATAAGTTAAAAACAATGGTTGGTATAAGCTTTCACACATCAAGTTGTATAGGTTGAATTTTTGCCACATTTATGGATAAAAATAAGCTTTCACACTTGAAACTTTTTTTTTCCCTTATTTTGACGGAAGCGTGTGGTTGTCATCCCTACCACACTGACGGTCGTTGCATTCTTCCTTTTTTTTTTTATTTTCTCTTTCACAATTGATGAATGCCTTTGCCGCTAGAGACATGCCTTGTATTTTTAGGGAACAAAAAAAATTTAAAATTACACAAAATAGATTAAACTTCTACAAATATTCTATGAACTTGTTTGATAGACGTATTATAGATGGATTAAAAATTTTATTGTACTATTATTTATTTAATCAGGCCTAATATTTCGTTTGATAGATAAATTTGATTCCGTATTAATTTAAAAAACGTATACTAATTGTATACTTATCTTATATTTTTAGTACTATAGACCTATATTATAAATATATTTTAATACCACCAGGAGAGGTGATATTATAATTTATCTCAAATGTATTATTGTACACATTTACTATTTTAATCTCATAACTGATAAAATCAAACTGTCATCAATGTAATAAACATTGATTGAGAGTATTTTTGTTAATTCAACATTAATACCAAGAAATAATGTCCTAACCAAACAACCGATTAGATTATATAATTACTATCCAACGCTTATACTATGTATTGTCAAACACTAGATAAAATTACGTATTATTCTAATATCGTATTTAATCTTGCTTTTTATCCATCTATATTGTATTAGATTATATTATGTTATCTAATCTATCCATTTCTAATACAACAACCAAGTAGCCCATCTATACAAGAGTTGGTTCAATAAATGCAAGGCATTTCTTACCTTTGAGGATATTTAAAGGTACTGTATTTATACACGAGTGGTACGAATTTGTGTAACACATCATCTTTTGTTGGGTGATATATATATATATATAGTGTTGATAGAATTACCAAAAAAAATTATGGCAAAGGACATGAGTACAATTTTATACAAAAACAAGGGATCTCGTCGAAGTTTTGGTCATTTATGAGTGATGTGGTTGGAAGTTTTTAAAGAAAACTGTTTTTATGAAAATGTAATTCGGATGTGTTTTTTAACATAAAAACTTGTTTTGAACTCATGTTTTCACGCTAAAAAATAGTGAATTTTCATCCCATTATATTGAAAAATAGTTTTAAAAAATTCCAAATCTTGATAATTTACAAACTAAATCTGAACTTAATTTGTGTAGGTTAAGTATTTCCTGAAATTGGAAGAAAGTATAATTTGTTTTTGGATTTTAATTTTTTTATATTATATAATATAATATACAATGAACATATACAAACAATATAATTTAGATTTTAAAAGTTGTCAAGTCTAAGGGTAGGTTTGTAGTTTTTAAAAGTTATCTTTTGTGATGTCATTCTTTTTTTTTGGATTATCGAAAACGGTTATTAACAATAGAAATAATTTCAAAAACTATTTTAAGTACTGTTTGTTTTTGCAATTCTTTTTCTTTATAGATTTTTTTTCCTTAAAAAGAGATGCAACATGAGAATTTTCTAAGGGGTCACCCATTCTAATACTACTTTCAACTTTTTTTTTTTGACTTTGTGGTCGCCATCCGTTATTACGTGTGGTCCCTTGTTTTTTTTTTTTTGTTTTATTGCAATTTTCCTTTTCATCTTTTCCCGTTTCCTGTTACTAAGGTTCGATTGGGTAGGAAAAAAAATAATAAAAAATAAAAGTGGTAGAAAGTGACGTGAAATAAAAAAAATAATAGAAATTATATTTTTATACATATATTTGATTAGAATGAAAAATATACAGGAAAATTTTTTTAAAAAATTTTTATGCTATTGTTTGAAATAAAGGAAAGTTACAAGAATTTTTTTATAATTGTTTAAAGTATCCTTAATTATATTAAATCGGTCTAAAAAAATATGTATTATAATTAGAAGTTAAAATTTTTTTAAAAAATGGCTCGAAACATAATTGTAGGACAATCACCAATACAAAAGTTTTTGAACCAAATTATATAATTAATCAAATTCACACCAATTTTTTTTAAATTAATAACTAATAAATTTTTTTAAGAAAAATAAGGATAAAATAAAAAGTTAACTATAAATTACAACTTTATTGTATTTTTTTGTGTTTTTTACAAGAAAAAAAAGTTAGTCGTAAAAAAATTCAAGCATAAAAAAAAATTATTTTTTCTATCATTTTTCTA